GTCACGAAGTTTGTAACACCCAGAAGGAAGGGTCGGAGACCCTGTAAAGTATATACATACATATATAAATTATCAGTATGTCGAGCTGAGCCGATTTAGCCATGTCCCTCAGTTTTTAAGATATCGTTTTGAAATTTTRCAAACGTCATTTTCTCTTCAAGAAGTTAATCATTTGTCGGAACTGCCGTTATCGGACTACAATAACATATAGCTGTCATATAAACTGAACGATCGGAATCAAGTTCTTGTATGGAAAACTTTCACATTTGACAAGATATATAGTATTCACGAAATTTTGTATAAATTATTTTCTAAGMCAACAAGAAGAAATTGTTCATATCGGATTACTATAGCATATAGCTTCCATACAAACTGAACACATAGTTACTAACAGAACTTCAGTGCAAGTTAATGTTTTTTCTTGTTTTATTTTTATATTAGTTTAAAGAAAAATATTTAGTATGTGTTCGAAAAGTAAGGTGTAACTGCATTCTTCGATTCTCAGCGCTACAAACTTGCGACCTTTGAGTTATCGGTAAGTGGTGATAGGCTTATTATTTCTTGATCGGATATCTTCTGATTTKAAATTTTCAAATTCAGGATTCACTAAATTATTTTTATAATTATATAATTCCTAAAAGTTCTTACTTAATTATATAATTTAAATGGGATTGAGGTTACCTCTATTTTTAAATAAATTAACATACATTGAAAACGACCTATAATTGAAAGTAAGTTGATATTTTATGAGATTCAACTTTTTTGCATTGATTTAAATACTTCTAGAGAAGTACACCCACACATCCATATTTATATGCCATAATTTTGTTGCAATATCTATATATTTCTCTTCAATAATAAGTAATTTAAACTTATTAAGTTGATTTAGATATGAATTTGGGTGTAAGATTCACAAATATTGGTGCATTTTGAATCTCGCAATATCCTCTGGATACCTTGAAATCATTACAATTTTAGAATAACAATCAATAGGATGCTAACGAGTGAGATGGAGTAAGCATCCGGCACCTTTCATATAAAAGTCATGTTCGAAACTAAAAATAACTCTCATTCAACCAATATTTAGAAATTCGACATTGCGGTTAACTTCATGTTACGTACGTTGCCCTTTCATATTTTGGGATTTGGCAACCGTAGTGTTGCAATTTGGTAGCTCAAATTTTATCGTTAAGTTTGACATTTTTGATGTTTTGCATACTCTTAACGTTTTGACATTCGACCCTTTTTGTGTTGCTTAATGTAACCTGAAATATGCATCTTGGCTAAAAAAATAGAATTAAACAGCAAACATTTTCGAGTAACTCAGCAACAGTGCAACGACGAATTTAATTAAGCTTTTTGCGACGAAGCGTAATCAATGGCCAGTGTTTTACCATCGATAAACCACATGGTGAATCAATCGAGGTCGTAAATCACTCCAAGACGAATTTTGGGAAAGTCGTCCAAAATTAGKTTTTGTCCCGGAAGCTATTAATGCTGTGTGCAAACTCATATTGTGAGATAGAGGCAATTATAAGCATTAGTGGATATATCGCAATCATACCAGCAAGACAACGCAAAAGAGTAAATTCTGTGTGATACCCAACCATCTGTTTTCCARAAGGCGAGAACTCTCTGAAATGATAACCTTTCCTAGCCATAATGAAAGTTTGGGTCTACTTATGACCGGCATCCCCTTTGTTTAACAATCTCTTCTACCATATTCAATTCTCTTAAAAACTAAATGAGCTTAAATTTAAACCTAAATATAACGGTTGAAATAGCTGGTGTGTAAATAAAAATAATAAGAAATATAACTTATAAACTCAGAGAATAATTAAGACTTACTGGGTTTAATAAAAGTAATATGTTCGGTCACAAAAATCATCCCAGCCAACAATTAAAGAATTGTAAAGAGTTAAACGAGTCTAATTATTTTCACCATATCAACTGAAACTGATCAAACTGTTCTGATCTTAAGTCTTGAACAAATTTTTGTCGTTCTGGTGGTTTTGTAAATAGTTACCTTTTAAGCGTTTTTTTCTGAACARGTTTTTTAGTAAGTTTTTGCTTGTTTATTTATGTTTTTCTTAGCCAAATGCCAATATTCTCTTTAAAGTTGGTCGTATGAAAATATTATATTTTATAGAACGATATAAAATCGATTGCATTATTCGATAAGTATACGAGGTGGTTGGAACGATTATTTATATCATTTTCAAAATATAAACGAGTAAGGAAAGGCTAAGTGCAGGTGCAAAAGAACATTTTATACTCTTGCAACTTGCAAGAATCGAAGCCTCGAAAATTCTTTAAGGTGTAAAATGCAAACCAGAGGATCGAAATTCTAGCAATTTTATATACAGTGGACCAATAAAGTTTACACACACCTCGTTCAAGTAAATTACGATACGTTTATTTCTTTTAAAATTAATAAATTTTGTGATTGCGGATTTTTTTCTATCCATTTCAAGGTATGTATATTTAGCATTAAATATTTCATTTCGAAATATTTTTTTTTTAACAAATAAAAAAAATTAGTGCTAAAGCCGCATTTTCATTAATTTATATGAAAAAAAAGTTTACTTACACCAAAGATTATTMATATAATTCAAAAGTAATTACATAAGTTTTAGCAGGTTTTGGCTTACAAAAAAGTTACAGATATTTTGAATAGGATTAATGTATGGTGATTGCCTATGGACCTATGGAGTTATTTTAAATTCCATAACAACCCTGCACGTACAAGATGAGACGGGTGTTTTGGGTCGTTATCTTGTTATAAATAGAAGTGGCCACTATTAACAGCCGATTTAAGCACACTTAAAATTKAAATTTTTTTCTTAAAACGTTCAGATACATATGCTTTTCCATTTTTTTACTAAAAAAAATCCAGTGTTCAACTCCAGATGTAGGCACATACCCCCAAACCATAACATTACCCCTACCATGGCAATACATTTTTCCTTGTGACTCTTCATTGATCTTTTTCCACACTTTTCGTGCTCTTGTTGAACCAAATATATGAAATTTTGATTCGTCGGTGAACGCAATGTTTTCCCAAAACCAATACGGTTTGTTAAAATATTGTTTAACAACCGCCGACCTCTTCTTTTTATTAACCTTACTTATGTATGGCTTACGACGAGCGATTCGTCTATGATAACCAGCACTATTCCATACATTCCCTACTGTTTCGGGATTTATTTTTTTGTATACATTTGAAAATGGATAAAAACATGTTTCTGATCATTTTAACAAAATAATTTAAATTTTAAGTGTGCTTAAGTCGGCTGGTTATAGCAGCAAAATCAATTTCCAATAGGATACCGACCCAAACCCCTGGACATCGAATTTCATCAAAGAAGGCTAAAAAGCTGAATCATGGACTTAGTGGGTCAAAATATACGGAAATAATACCAGAAATTGAGTGGGGAGCATACATCGATGTCTAGGGACAAAAATAGCAGCAAATTGTAGGCCAAAAAACTGCTAAAAATATTGTAATTACTTGTGATTTATATAAATAATCATCAGTGTGCGCAATCTTTTTTGATATAAATTATGACCAWTTTAAGCATTAGCACTAATTTCTTTTATTTGTTTAAAAAAAAAAAATAATTTGATGTGCTATATTTAATGTTAAATATACATATTTTGAAATGGATAGAAAACAAACATAAAATTTATTAATTTTAAAACAAATAAACGTGTCGTAATTCACTAGAACTAGGTGTGTGTAAACTTTATTGGTCCACTGTACATATACATATTCTATGTATAACTCATACACTGACATACACATAACTCAAATATTGGGATAACTCAAATATTGGCCGATATATGCGGTTCAAGGTCAAGGAAGTTCGACAATTTTTATGTTAAGTATATGGGGGTCCGATTCAATCCAATTTTGACAAACAGACATACCATTATAAGAGAARGATTACCCTCAATTTCAGTTACACTGTAGGTACCGAGGTCTAAATATTCGGTACCTAGGGGCCTGAACWKTKTATTTATTAYTCGTGCAAAGTGGTATCCCATTATATTAATTGCTTCTTGCCTTGTGTACTGGAAACTGAACGAATCAAGTGGAATTTAAAATTGTTCTATATGGAAAGTAGGCGTGGTTATTGTCCGATTTCGCTCATTTTCACCTCGTGAAATAGAAAATTGAAAAGAAAGCCACGTACTATATTCACACCAGTTCAAGTAAAGCCATCTCATACCATCTTGCTGGTAAAATTTAAGGTCGCGAGCGTATTTATTTATTGATTTATCCCGCTTTTAATAGTTTTTAACAGTACCGTCAAAGGGGGAGTGACCGGGATTTCCTCCGATTTCATCCATTTTCACACTGTCGGTAGAAGTATTTATAAGATCTGTACTGAGCAAATTTCGTTGCTATTTCTTAAGCGGTTTAGCAAATATGTACATTAAACTTGCTAATGGGCGTGGCCACGGTCACTTTTTCAAAAAAAAATTTGACCTCTGTAATAAATTACAGTTTCATATATTAATTTAGTGTTAGTTATGACACTTTATGTGTTTTCGGTTAATGTCGATTTGTGGGCGTGGCCATTTACGCCCATCTACAAACTCAAATTTTTTTTTTACCAGGGAATCTATATAGCAAGTTTCGGACGGAGGTTAGACAGACAGACAGTCAACAGTATTTCAATTTTTCTCGTCCCTTGATCATTTATATGTATCTATATATATATATATATAACCCTATATCTATCTCGATTAGTTTTAGGTGATACGTACAACCGTTAGGTGAACAAAACTATAATACTCTGTAGCAACTGGTCGCAAGAGTATAAAATGCCGCTAATTTTTAAAAGAAAGAAAATTCGTATATTCGATTTCGTTCTTTATGAGCCAATTAAACAATTTCTTAAAGAGTTCCAAAATTTTAAAATGACGACACAGAAATTTGAAATATTAAACAATTGCCTTARAAATAGTGTTAAAAACACGGACATGCTACTTACATCCGGGTTGTATTCCTTTCGCTCGTATCGTACGATAAGGCTGCCGTGCACCGGGATCAAATTTTCCATACATTGTTCTATCCATTTTAGCTTGATTTTAAAGTCATACACACATARCAGCTATACAAATATTTTCAATGAGTTTTTGTGTTSTCAAATTTGTATTTTTGTAAGTTTYGTTGTTTGCTAACGAAAGCACACCGTTACAAACCACTGAGCAATCTAAACCAAAATTACACTTTCWCTTAAATCACCAAAAAGAAATTATTTTTAAATTGTTATTAAGTTTTCTGCAAATTATAAGCGAAAGTTACGTCAATCACAGCCACCGACATAAATCACTTGATAAGCACAAACGCAAACCACCGACTCCTCAGCGTCATAAATATCCAACAAAAATTACAAGCGCGATCGATTTTTTGAACAATTGGACGTTGGCAGCCAGTTGATCAAAGACATCTGACATCTGGTACGAGTATTTGCGTCACCTTCACTACACTTCGATCACACGAGATTTCGGTGGTTGGTTCTTTTGGATATATCTACGTATATATTTATTTGTGTGTATGTATATAGACAAATTTGTTTGTGAGAATTTAGAAAAAATTGAGAAATTCATACGATTTGATTTTCAGTAAATAAATGAAAACATTTTAATCAACCAACTGAATCAGCTGTCGATGACTTACATACATACACATATAGGCACGCATATGAATTATGTATACAGTCAACGCAAGTAGGAGCGGTGGACCGTTTGAGAACGTGTATGTATGTATGTTCGTTCCGCCACCGACATACACTCTGCCAGGCAAGCTGCCAAACAACTTGGAACAATATGCAGTTAGAATAGCAAACGCAATCTCATGAATCTAAATCTGATGCGACAACGTTGGAAGCAACGGGYTGTTGGCCAAGCAGACGGCGCTGCTGCCGGCGCTAACGGAGAGCACAGCGACAGCAGCAACAGCAATAACAACTAGCACATGCTTTGTCTTCGCTTTAATTTATACGTTTTTAATATATTTTTAATTTTATTTTTATACTGCCACACAATCACTCGTACATACATATGTGCATGGATTACAGTTGATCTTAACTAAATGAAAATAAAATTTTGTCTRATTGAATTTATAATGTGCAGCGTCCGCCACTCTTTAGCCCACGCAGATCAAGGTTTTTGTTGTCATCGGACGTTTTGTTGGCTGCGGCGTCGTATTAGCTTCCATATTGTGTCACTCTCTTGGATAAATTGTTTTGGTCGGCCGTTAGTTGGGTAATCTCGCGAACAAGTGAACGACGACGCGGTGACTCAATATTTTGCGGCTCAACTTCGCCCGGTTCACGACAATAACACCCGGACACCTACATACGTACTCATATGTATGTACAYACTTATTTACCTGAATTTTTTCGCTTTTTGACACAAAATAAATATACATATGTTTATCCATACGTACATTGGTATGTAGTTTAAAGTCTGTTCAGCTGTTAAGATATTCGTTCAGAGAAATCATACAAACATTCGTATATAMAAATGTATGTGGATTTAACGGTCATAATTTTTATTAATGAGATTTTACCCGGTGTTAATTAAGTGACTGCACATACGTACATATATGTGTATATAGGATACTTCTCCAACGAGTTTTTAACAATATAGCGAATTATTATATATACATATATGTAAGAATTTATACCTCAAAGGTAAGCTCTTTTATTTAACTTTGCATTATTATTTTTTTTCAGCGAAATTTCTAACTTTAACTAAACATTAATAAATACTCAAGAAGTTTAGAAAAAGTTTCAAGTGTTCTCGCTGAAATTACTAAGAGAGCAATAGAGGCAAGTTTAATAAGCATCGAAAGAAATAATATTATTTACATAAATATATTTATATAATATATAATGTGCATATGTGTTACGCTCAGAAAAAATTATAAAAATATTTTTTTTAGATTTAGATATCGTTTAGTCAATTTCTATGTCAGCTTTACGCTATAGGTGTCCGAGATTTTGTTATATAGAAAAGTTTTCCATTACAAGAACTTGATATTGCTCAGTCGGTTTGTATAGCAACTTTACGCTATAGTGATCCGATATCGGCAGTTCCAACACAGCAGCTTCTCGAAGATAAAAGCACRTTTRCAAAATTTCAAATCAATATCTCTAAAACTGAGGGACTACTTCGAGTATATACAGATGGATAGACAGACTTGACAAAATCGACTTCTCTTGTCAAGTTGAACTTTTATATATACTTATATGTTTATAGACTTTATGGGGTTTCCGACGATTCTTTTTGGGTGTTCCGAACTTCATGACAAACTCAATATACTCTGTTCTGGGTATAAAAACAAATAAAGTATACGTGCATAAAGTGAAGAAATGGTTCCGCAAGCGATAAATAGTGAAAAATGCTCTGGAATTTGAGTAATAAAACCCAACTGACTAATTCATAGATTCCAAGTACTAGAATAATATTTTTTAGGTGTAAGCACGATGTCCCACGTTTCGTCTACAGATTATAAGCACAACATATGCTAACACAATTTTAAAATTTATATAACTGCATTTTAATGTTATTAAATGGCTTAAATAAAATTGGGGCTTGCTACCTACATATATGAAATTTGATACAAGACTTAACCCGGGAGTTCAGCTAGAGTTGAAGATACAACTCAAATAAATATAATATACTAATACCAACACTATTAATTTCTGGAAGTGAAGGACCGGAAGTGGAAAATCGTATTTTTCCTGAAAAAATAACCCGAATTGATTCGTTCTTACTCAGCATGATTAATGAGAAATTAAAATCTCTTACATATGTTCAAAGTGAGAAGCTAAATATATGAAATAAATCTGAAATCGCTAAAAGTGAACACTTTTGAATACAATAAATATTTTCAACGTTTTCTCACAAAGCAATGTTACAAGAGCGAAATACAATATTAAACCCATTGAATAATTACATATTCTCAAGTTAAAATTAAATGTATCCAACATTTCCATATACCGCATCATTAATTTTTGCACTCTTTTAAGGGRTCAGTRGGGTAATCTTTATTMAAAAAAAAAMAWWTTTTTTGCATTTCCTGTTCTCTTATACCCTTAGAATTAGTGTAGAAACCCCCTTTACCATTGGAGGATTTCACAAAAATTCCAAAAATAATAATACCGCTCGACGTTCGTAGTGCACACCTGGCGCATGAAATCGCATCAAAACACAGTTTTTTAAACTGGCGGACATGATTCCGGTCGAACTACTCAACCGATTTGCTAATTGTTGTTTTAATGTTCACAAAACGCCTGRCTATCCTCCCTACTAGATTCATTATTTTTCATAATTTATTGACACTGTTATGACAAAATTTATGTAAAAAAGCATGGGGGAATTAAAAACAAAAAACACAAAACGTTAATTACTTTTTTATTTATCAACATTTTTTCCTGATTCTAGTAGGGACGATAACCATTCACGTAGTTTTTAAGAATAAATTGGGTTTTTGTGTATCAGGTGATCCAAACATAATAAATCGTGTCCTCCAGTGAAAAAACGCATCTCATTCACCCACCCATTTCACCGGTAGATGTCGTCAAAAAAKTCCGAAAAAATTTGTTTATATACTACACAATATACTTCATGATATACGAAAAAAGTTCTATTGTAGAATAAAAATTTCTATGAAAAAATGTTACTCATACGCCACAYAGTACGTTATGCATAGATGTCTAAAACCAAGTAAATATAGTACAATATTATGTACAAATATCAAATTACAAAACACTCCTATAACAAATTAATATTGATAGAAAATTGTTAAGGAATTATGAATAAAATGTGGTGATAGCTTTTATCCGATCAGTACCGATAGTAAAGTGTTAAACCGCTATATTGAATGCTGCCATTTTGTTTAGATAAAATAAAAAAAACATTTTTACATTTTTTATAAAAAAAATATTTTTACAGTGAAAAGTGTAACTTGGCACATCAATGTAAACATTGTGTGAGAGCTGTTATTAATGTGTTCTTAGGCCTCTGCAACATCCGCCTACTCGATATTTCTTCAAGAATTTTCCAAAGATATGTATTTTTGTATGTGAATACGTAGATCATTGCCATTTTATGGAGGACCGAAAACGATTTTTCTGCAAACAGAATGAATTGTTCGACGTCAAATATTCAAGTGGATTTTACGAACATATGTATATGAATATACACGTGTACAAGCAAGCAAATATAGGAAGTAGACAAGAAACTATTAGAAAGTGAACTCGCACTAAGCGAATATAAAATTGTTTACAAATCAGCAAATTAAATTATTTTTCGACTTCATCAACGGTGACTGCGTTCGTTCATCTCCAAATATTGTTTACTCTATAAACATACTATACAGTACATGCATATCAATGTCTGTAATGATGAATGAAAAGCAAAAACACAGTATTAAATTACTTAATTTGCTTTAAGAAAAGTTAGATAATTTTAATCTGATAGCAATAATGCCTCCACATCACTTACTTAATTCAATAAATGCGTATAATTTTGAGAGGCACTAGTACATTATAGCACTCAAGATGTGTTGGAAAGTAAACAGGAATCTAGCGCCCCCTGATGGCACCATCTATATGTCGAATGGTGCGTTAGTCTCTGCTATCTTTATCGATTATCCAGTGAGATTTTCATAACATTTCATATATTGGAAGTGAAGTTATTGCATTTTAAGTGTCAGTATGTTTGTGTTGTCGGTGCAAAAATTAGCATCGAACAAAGAGCCAACATTAAATATTGTTTTAAAATTGGTAAAACTTTTACCGGAACGTTTCAATTGATGAAACAAGTTTATGGCGATATGACCACGAGTGGTTTCATCGGTTCCAAAGTGGTCGTGAGGACATAAATGACGATGAACATGTGGGCCAAACAAAATCCGTGATCACCGGAAATTCCATCGAAACTGTGCGTGAATTCATTAAAAATCACCCGGAACCATCATTGAAATTCATGGAAGTGGAATTGAACATCTCCAAAACATCGATTTATCGCGTTTTGACCRAACAATTGGGCTTACGAAAGATGTGTGCACCGTTTGTTCCGCACAAATTGACTGACGACTAAAAATTGCTCAGAYTCAAACATTTGAAGGACAGCTTGTGACCGATTATTTGACCAAAAATCACATTTTAATCATTAACAACTCCCCGTATTCACCTGATAT